GAAAAGTGCAACAAGAATGAATGGAAATCCAAAATCTCTGTAAATGTTCATTAAAATTAACAAAATAAAATTTCAAAAATGTGAAATTCCAGTTAAACAATCTGAACAAAAATGAGTATATAGGAATAGGAATTACAAAAAAACTCAAATAGGTATTTTACACTATGCTTTGAACCCAATACTTAAGAAAGCAATTTTTAATACTTGCAATAAAATAGCTTCAGTGATCACAATCTAAAAACAAGCAGGAGTTTAGGACTGTATTGTTCCACAATAATTTTTTAGCAAAACTCTTCAATACACAACGAAACTAAAATGATCTATTTCAAATTACTGGCGGTTTCCTCCTTATGGTGGAGGGTGGCATGTCATTATGAAAAAGAATAAAAAATAAATCATAAACTAGATGTACAGCCCATAATAAACATAGACACCATTTTTACAGGCAACAGTAGTTAGAATCTCCTCCTTCAATATCATCTGATTACAAACATTTCTACTACCTTATAAGCACTAATGCAAAAGCAACATAAGGATCCCAAAATAAATGAGATTTAAATTTACCAGAATTTTGCTCACGGGAAAGGACGGTTTTAAGCAATTTTATTAACTTTTAAGACCTAAATTATAGCAGTATAATTAAGTAATATGTTCCCAATCCAAATGACTGGCACACATCCTGGGGGTGGGATGGTAATAAATCTGTGGTTTTAAAAGTGCATTTTATCAATATGTATTGCACCACATATCATTTTATGGTAGGAAGTTATATCAGTATACAAAGCATTCTATAATTAAGAGATGTATTTAAAACTTAAAGAACTATTAGGAAGAAGTTTATTTGAACAGTTGGGTAATTTGTCACTACCTCTTTTTAGTGCAAGTCATGAATGAAATGGAGTAACTTTGATTGGAAATGAGGAGAGGTGGGGGGTCGGCAGGGTAGGAGGGGAAGAAATGAGAAAGGGAGAGAGATGGAAAAGATCCGCTTTCTTGCAAATTACAAGCACAGCATGAAACCAAAAAGAGCACGATGAAAAATGTCTTTCCTATGCAATTAAGTAAGACTGTAAAAAGGCCCGGCTGCGCTGCTCGGGCGGCGGCATGGATAAATAGAATTACATTCAGATCCATAATCTAAAATCTTTACAGAAGCCACCCTAAAGCTACTGAGCTACTCCGCTGGCTAGACTTTCAGCAGGGAGAAACCCTGGAGTCAGGAAAACAGCCTTGGGAGCCCTACAGAGTCTGCAGAAGCTTCAGCTCTTTCTACAGACGCGAAAGACGAGGTGCAAATCAATGGGCGAGAGGGCAGGAATGAAAGCACATGGGAAGAGGGTTCAGGGCACCTGTTAACGTAGGAAATGAGAAGATGGGACCTGGGGCCCGGGAGACTGACTAGCGTTGCCTCTCTAGGATGAGTGGGCTGGGCCTGGCCAGTCTGGAAAGCAGGCGCTGGGCTTTAACCCGGTGAACGACTCAGAGATGGTAACTTCGAGCGGGGCGGAAGGATGCTTAAGGAACCAAGCATCAAACACTCGACCAAGAAGAGATGGCACAATGGACAGGTAAGGGGTTCGTGGGAGTCTGCAGAGTCTTCCAGGCCAAGGAAACCGAGGTGAGGCTAGGATAAAGTGGCCGGAGAAGCGCCGCATACCGAGGTAGGGGAAGAGACTTGGCAGGAGCGCCCAGTGAGAAAGAGGCAAGAGGCGGACCCCTGCTTACCTGATACTCGGGGTACTCGAACATATAGCTCATGCTACATCGGTTCTCCTCGAAGCCGAAAAAGACATCCCACAGCCCTAGGGACGCCATGAAGATCATGCCAACATAAAATGGCATGTTCCCGAAGTTAACGGAGTGAAGAAACATGGTGCCGCCTCCACGGGGACCCCAAGGCTGGGACCGAGCAGACCAGCAGAAGTGGAGAATCTCGGGCCGCCAGCCCCGGAGCGGAGCCCGAGCAGCTCGCGCCTGCGCGCACGCGCTGCCAGCTTGTGCTCCCGCTGCTCAGTGCGCCTGCGCGCAACCGGCTCGCCCCGCTTCCCACCGGGTGTGTCGGGGAGAGGAGAGGGGGGGCGGCGTTTGCGGCGGGAACGTGCATCCATCAGTGGGAAGGAGGAAGGAGGCTGGAAGGAAGGGGAGCAGGGTGGGCTGGAGAGAAAGGGGGGGAAAATTAGGGGCGACGGGAAAGGCGGCATGGGGAAGGTTAAGGAAGGCGAGGAAGAGGTAGCGAGGGGCGCAGAGGGGCGGGGGCGGGAGGGTTAACAGGGGAGGGGGAGGTGCATTCTGGAGTGGATGGATAACAGCGCGGGAGTCGGCGAGGGAAGCGGGAAGCAGAGCCAGGCAACCCTCCGCTGTCACACCGCAAGCACTGCGGTCCCGCTGTTGACAGACCTTCCCTTCTAATTCTGAAACGCCTCTGGCCTCAGCACTTTTGCATGAGAAGGGCGCGAATGGCTTTTCCCTCCTTTTTGCCAACATCAGCCGGTTTAATCTCATTCATTAAAAAAAAAAAATCCTCGCCATAACTGTCCCTTGTAGCTCTCGATATTCATTCCGGTCCTTAAAGAGTTTCCCTCTCTTGAGATAAGTAATTCTCCCTCCGGTTTCAGGTTTATTGTTAGCTGGAGAGATTGTCGGTCTTTCTCCTTCAGAGCCAATAGTGGATTCGAACCGCCAGAGAGGAGCAACCTTTGGGTTGACAGTGTTTCTTGCTACAGACTACCAAAAACTCTACTCTCTAATAATCTGATTCCTCTCAATTACACATCGACACCTTATGATTTTTTATTACCAAATGCCAACATACCGGAACACACCTTTTCTTGCGAAGAAACTACAAAAAATTTAACTATGCAAGTTAACCGACACCTTTGAGTCTTGATCTTTCACCTTGACCCTCTCCTAAAATCATCTTCCTTAGTTGTGTTTTTTAACCTAACTTCACACTGCGTCATCTCTTCTTTATCTGGTCTCTCAGTCTTCATCCCAAATATTTCTCCATTCATTCATCCCTTAAATGTTTTAATCTGAGGATTTTATTCTCAGCCATCATTCTAATTCTCTAACATAAAATCCTTTTAGTGACTTCTCCATGTCTTTACTCAAGGCTTGCTTAATGGCAAGAAACAACTCTTAACTGAAGATAGGCCTGTATTGTAAGATCAAAGAAATGGCAGGACTCTGGAATAAACTGACAAGCCAGGACAAAAACAAAGCTGTAGAGAACAGATCTGATCTTTGTCCTACCCTGACCACGCCCAATTCTAAATCTAAGGACTACAAACAACTCTGCTCTTGTCAATACAGTTCACATTCCTGCTTGAGAGTTGGAAGAGACCTCTTTTTTATTATTATTTCAAGCCAGGCCTCACATGTCACAACTCCCAAGTAACAGAACAGATAAACTGAAAACTTAAACTTGAACCAGTAGTGGTAGACAAAAGAATTTGTTTTATGCATTAGGTGATTGGAAACTATTAAAGACTTATGAAATGGGAAGTAGTGTGTTCAAGGAACCTTGTCTTCTATCAGTGTCTAATTGAACTGTAGGGCATAGTGTCTCCAAATCAGTAAATCCAAATCAGGAGATGGGGTTTTAGTTTAGGTGGAAGGATCAAAGGAAAGAAGGGAATCAAATTATTCTCCATTACAAAGATTAATGAAGAATATTTGAAGAATAAACGGAGGTGGGGGGAACAATATGGCATAGTCCATGGTACTGCTAAACTAAAGGCTGCACCTATCAGTTCAAATCCACCAGTGGCTCCTCCAAGAGAGATGGACAGTCTCTTCTGGTGCAGTTTACAGCCTCTGAAAATCCTCTGGTAGGGCAATTATGAGTTCATTTGGCCTCTACAGCAGTGAATTGGATGGGTAATAGGCAGCTCAGGTGGTGTAGCCGGTAGCAAATTGTACCACTAACCCAAGGACTTGTTTGTTGTTAAGTGCCATTGAGTTGCTTGCTACTCATAGCAACCCTATGTACAAGAGTCCTAAACGCCATTCTATCCTGTGCCAACCTTGTGTGTCATACACACTCATTCCCAGCATTCCACTCACAGAATTGATCCATCTCATTGAGGGTCTTCCTCTCCTGCGTTGTCCCTTCACTCTCCCAAACATGATGTCCCTCTCCAAGGACCAATCCCTCCTTGCAACATGCCCAAAGTATGTCAGACAAAGCTTCAAAATCCTTGACTCCAAGGAATATTCTGGCTTCACCCTCTCTAGGACAAACCTGTTTGTTCTAGCAGTCCATGGTATATTCAATTCTCTTCTCCAGCACCACAGCTCAAAGGCATCAATTCTCTTTCTATCATCCCTATTCACTGTCCAACTCTCTGATGCATAGCACGCATTTGCAAAGACCATAGCCTGGATCAAGCGCACCTTAGTCTCCAGCCTGACGTCATTGCTCTTCAGTACTCTTGAGAGGTCCCTCACAGCTGACTTTCCCAGTGCAATTCATCTCCTGATTTCCTGACTGCTGTTACCAAGAGTGTTGACTGTGGAGCCAAGTAAACTAAAACTATTAACTATCTCAATCTCTTCACCATCCATACTGATGCTGCCAATTGGCCCAGTGGTGAGAATCTTGGTTTTCTTGATGTTGAGCTTCAATCCACATTGAAGATTGCAGTCCTTGACCTTCTGTAGCAAGCGCTTCAGGTCCTCCTCAGTTTCAGCAAGCAGGGTTGTGTCATCCGCATAACGCAGGTTGTTGATGATTCTTCCACCAATCCTGATGCCACATTCCTCCTCATACAGCCCAGTGTCTCAGATTTTCTGTTCTGCATACAGATTGAAAAGGAATGGAGACAAAATACACCCCTAATGGACCCCTTTCTTGATTTTGAACCATGTAGTGTCTCCTTGCTCTGTTCTAATGACTGCCTCTTGGTACAAGTATAGGTTTCGCATTAGCACAATCAAATGTTCTGGGATTCCCATTCCTCTCAGCGTCAGCCACAGCTTGTTGTGATCCACACAGTTAAAAGCCTTTGTATAGTCAATGAAACACAGATAGACATTATTTTGGTATTCTCTGCTTTCTGCCAAGGTCCATCTAACATTAGCTATAATATCCCTAGTACCACGACCTCTTCTAAGTCCAACCTGCACATCTGGCAGTTCTCTGTTGACATACTGTTCCAAACGTTTTTGGATAATTTTCAGCAGAATCTTGCTTGCATGTGATATCAATGATATTGTTTGATAATTTCCATACTCTGTTGGGTCACCTTTCTTTGGAATGGGAACAAATATTGATAGGAAATAATAAATTCAGGTAACATAACCTAAGCTTGACAGGCATTAAAAGAATATAGACTAGTAATACAAAATGATAGCATGAAGAAAAAAATGCAATAAATTATCTTTTAAAAAATTATATCTGGTAAAAGATGTGTCTTCTTATAAATCTTGTTGGGTTTGTTCTTTTTACCTCACCTGAAATTCATGTGATTTATAATAATTTTAAAATATTTTATTTTACTTCCAAAAGAAAAAGACCCCCCAATACTATTAGCCTATGTGGTGGTTGTTATGTTCTGGTGCCAAGAGTGTTGATTGTGGAACCAAGCAAGATGAAATTATTAGCAATCTCAATCTCTTTTTCATCTATCACTGTGCTGCCAGTTGGCCCAGTAGTGAAAATCTTTGTCTTCTTGATGTTGAGCTTCAATCAATCTTGAAGACTACAGTAGACCTTTTGTAGCAAATTCTTCAGGTCCTCCTCAGTTTTGGTGAGCAAGGTTGCATCTTTTGCATAATACAGGTTGTGGATGAGTCTTCCTCCAAACCTGATGCCACATTCCTCCTCATAAAGTCCAGACTCCCGAAGGATCTGTTCTGTATATAGATTGAAAAGGTATGGAGATAAGATGCATCCGTGACACAAGACCTGAGCAATCATCAAACCTAGTCAGTAATGATCCAGACTCTTGCACGCCAATTCTCCTGATCTGAGTGAAAATAGATTTCTAGCTTTCCTCAGGTAAAAACAAAAACATTGATTCTATGTTCACACAGCTTTCAGTGGACTATTTGTTGTATGGAAACTCTACAAGAGATGAATGAAACAGTCATTGATATCAAGGTTTAAGCTATAAAATACAACTACAGTTTTCTAAATGCTAAGATAAAGATATAAATTAAGAGAACTGGAACACAATAGAACAGACATGTAACTGCTTGGGAATAGGGTGGGGGGAAAAGAATCTCAAAATTATTTACAACATTTTATAATAGAGACTCAGGTTGCTAATTATTTAATGTTTGAGTGAGTTGAAGGATTAACATAATTGAAAGAATTGAGATGTGTGCTTCCCAAAATTCAAGGAACCATGAAGTTTTTTCATAATTATTAAATTATCAATTTATTATGAAAATTTCTGTAAAGCAGGCAACTTATTGTTGTTTTTAGGTAAGGTAAAGTCAGTTCTAACTCATAGCAACTCTAACTACAATATGACAAGCACTGCCCAGGCATTGTCATGTTCGAGCCTGTTACTGCAATTACGGTGCCAATGCATCTCTTTTTCACTGACCTACTTTTCCAGGAATGGTGGTGTCTTCCAGAGACTTGTTAGGTGCTATCAAGTTAAGTACAACTCTTCCCTATCCTGTTTAATTCTCACAATCTCCTCTTTGCTTACATCCATTTTTGTAGCATTGCATCAGTCTTATCTCTTTGTTTATCTTCCTTTCCTTCACTGATCATTTACTTTTTAAAAAAAATTTTCATTATTAATTTCAATGAAAATTTACAGAGACTTTGGATTTCCATTCATTACTTGTTGCACTTTTCTCCCCTCCCGACTCTCCCCCCTAGTACACTACCCTCTTGGAAAAGTAAAAGAAAAATT